CAAAGAGAAGCCTCGCCCCCTGAACAAGCCAGGTTGCCATGAGGCAGCCCCAGAGGGGGCGAGTTCAAACCAGGGTTAGTTGGGGGGCTGAACTCGGGGTCCTGAGGGGGTCCTGCTGAGCTCAGGCCCACGGGGGGACCCCTGACCCACCCCACCAGACTTTCTTTCCCGCTCTGAGGAACCAAACCTAGGACTAGCCACGATTAGAAACCTGGCTTGGCTGAACCAACATAACTCAGTTCCTGAATTCCGCCAGTTCTGGGTGGGCGCAACCCCCCGAATTGCCACATCCGCCAAGGAAGGCGAGCCCCCAAAAAGAGGGGGCCTAAGGGGGGCTGTGGGGCGCGGGTAAGTAAAAAGGAATTAATTTGGTAAGCTCGTTAGGGTTAGATTTTAAAGGGAGCCCCCACAGAGGCGGGAACTGAGACCCCCTCAGGGTTGGAAACCCAGTTGGGGGTCCGGGACAGAAAGCCCACAGATGAAAAAAAGGGGGGCAGCACTCCAAATCTGCATGGACAAAAACAGGTATTTTATTGGGAAAACCTGCATTTTCTATGGCAAAGCAGGAGAGGAGAACTGGGGGGGGGGTCTCAACGGCTTGGCCAATTTATAGAAGTTATCTAGGAAAAAGCAGCAACCATTCCTTCACAGCCCCCCCAAAACTTTTTAGGGGCAAGACATCTGCGTCCCGCAAGCTGAGAGGACCACCAGGCCAAGTTTGGGTTGGGGGTTGAGGGCCACGAAGCCCTTCCCTCACCCCAGAGGAAAGGAGGCCACCAGGTGAGGCAGGCCATCTCCCCCAGCACACCCAGGCACGCTTCTTCCACCAAACCAGGGTTAGCAAGGAGCGAAAGGGGGCATTTGCAACCTAGGCCGAAAACAGGGAGGTTTCTCCCCTCACCGCTTCATTGTGGCGAATAACATTGCAAACCAGACAAGTTTGGGGAGGGGGCTTAGTTCATATAACTGCTGCTGCCCCTCCCTGCATGGAAGGGTGCAATGCACCCCCTTCCCAACTGCACAATCTCCTCCTCCTCCTCCCTTTGCAAGGCTACAGTAAATCCAGGTTTTTTGGGGGGGCAGACAGGACCCCAAAGTGAACTTTAAAGGAGGGCGCTGCAAGCCTTCCCACTTGGAAATGGGGTGCACACTGCAGCCCCCCATCCTCCAGCCCTAATAGACCCCCAGGAGCCCCCTCCTATCCATGCCCCCCAAGGAAGGCCCCCCCTCCAAATGGAGCGGGCAGCCCCGCTTGCCAAGAGGGTCCCCCCCTCTTTCGGACCGCGAGCCCCTGCATTTATCCTCA